TGGAAGCACAACTGAAATGAATGTAATCTGCTGTGTAAAAAATATAAAAATGCTGTGTGACACTGCATTAAGCTCACGCTGAAGCACTGGGATTGAACCAAAATAATGATATCACCATATCACTTTTATGTAACATAACTGTGAAATCTTTATAAATGTAAAAGTATTTTAAACGTCAGAAACAAACCAAAAATAAAAGTTAAAGTTTGGACCTCTGCAACCAAGACTCTGTAACAACTGCACCCGTTATGCTGCTGATGATATGTTGATCTGAGAGAGGTCTCAGGGAGGGCAAACTGAGTCCGAGCAACTCCCACCCAAGGTCGCCTAATGCATTAACACGTAGCACACGGGGACACGCAGACACACACAGTAATGTCAGAAGGAACACATAGACACACGGGCACCTAAATCTCAAACCTCATCCGTCACGTCCCGGTCATCCAGGCCCAGGGGTGCGTGTGAGTCAAACTAATCTAATATCCAACTAACGGGCTGAAGTAACCAACTCATACTCTGCGACAGCATATGTTCACAAGAAACATGGGTTTTGTTTGTAGGGCATTTTCTCCACTCTGAGTGTACAAAATATGCACAGACCATATTATTTTTGAGTTGAAGTGGCATGCTGAAAGTTATAGTGAGTGCAAAACTGAGTGTGTGTGGAATATCTTCCAGTGTTCTGTGCATCATAAAGTCACAAGCCACTAAAAAGCAGGCTTTCTCACAGTCACAGCTCAGGACTGCATGCATGCGACAATAATGTCCGAGAGATGAATGAGAGTCAAGAAGGGACTGAGATACCTGTGTACCTCACAGCACATCATCATAAATCATTTTTAATCGCTACAATAATTAATTGACATTAAATTTAACATGGCTGAGCTTCCTCTTTTTTAACCCCCCACTCCCGTCTTTGTTTAAGCCGCATTTTTATAAACCTAAAAGGCCGTTTTAACACTCAGGATAAATATTTTATGCTCTCAAAAGAGAATTTACGACTCATTTACAGGTTTGCTCTTTTTCTAAATGGACGTGGAGTATTATCGTTGGGAAGATGTGAGAGCTCGTCATTGGTCTACAATAAGGTGGTAAAGCATACACGGAGTGGAGAGTGGGCCCAGCAGGTCCACGCTGACCCCCTGTGAGAAGTTCCCGGTTCCCAGGACCCGGTGTGTACGTTTGTAGGGCAATAACTCATCAGGTCCCTTTACTTCCTCTTTCGGCCCTCTGCGTTTTATGACCCGCTCCTCTGCTGTACAGCTGCTCTCTCTGCAGCTTCCCTCTGGTCTGATTGGTTAAGACGGGAGTGTGAGGCAAGAGGATGATGGGGAAGAGACTGGGATGAGGTGGGAAGTTTGATGGAATATGTTTTATATTATGGCCTTTAAAGGTGACTAGCAGGCACGTTATGAGAGTGAATTCTGCTTTCACTTCATTACAAACTATTACTATTTGATTGACTGGAGAAATCAGATTTCCCAGTTCTTTTTAATTGTGAAGGACGAGCCTTTCTGTGTACTCTGAATGTACTGGGAATGATACTTTAGCCCTTTAGACTGATTTGAACACATGCATATTGGTCAGCCCCCCGTTTTGCTTCAGACTATATCTGAACAAATGTTCAACAGATCTCAGAGAAATTCTGTGCATGTATTTATAATAAATAACGAAGGCTGTAGCGTCACAGTAACATTTCATAATATAGCCTGTGACTAAGTGCTGAGAGGTGGGACACACCGTGACAGGTCATCAGCCTGGCGTTGGGCTAAAACAGAGACACAGACGACCGTTCACACTCACTATGGGGAATTTAGAATCACCAGTTGATCTAACCCCACTGATTGATTCTGGAATCTTCCCATCCCCCTGTTAGTGATCCTCCATCTATATGGAAGATAACAACCTTCTGAACAAATTAGTAGGTGGAGAAGGCCCCTACTGGCCCATATCTATGGGGCTGATTTCTGCCAACAAATGCCCGTTGTATGGACGGATAACATCTGAAGTGGGATCACTGAATGTGTTTGGATTGTGGAAGGAAGCTGCACAAACTTCTTCAAGCTCGGGACTCCCTCGCTGTGAGGCAGGAGTGCTAAGCACTGTGCTACCATGTGTAATTACAATGTAAATACGGTACTTAAAAGTAGGCAGGCTAGAATAAGGGAGTAACAAGTCAGGTTTTTACAAGAAATAATTATACTGGAAGTAAATGTAGGCAGTGGAATGTAATTTAAAGTAACATGTAAATAATGCTACATGGTGCAGAACCAGTTTTAAGATAAAATGAATGCATTTTGTGTTAAACCTTTGGTCAAAACAACCAACCAAGTAGATGGAAAACAGGAAGGAAACAATGATCATGAAATGACTGTATACCTGTGCAAGAACTGGGTCACTGAAAGCAGAATGATATCTGGATCCAGATTAGTTTTTGATGTTTCTTCAATAACATCAAGAAAACGTATCCTGTTTCCCCCCCCTATTTTCATAGGATATGTATTTCTGATGACATGACATAAAAATGTCAGAGTTTTTCCCCCTATTTTGCAATTTGTAAAGGAACCAAAAAACAAACAAACAAAAAAATAGATCCAAATCAATTGAGAAGTTATTCACTCAAAGCTGGGCTCAGCATCACTGCTAGTTATAGTTTTGTGTTACTCTGCTAATAACCAGCCAAACTAAACACAAAATATTTCCTTGGCAGAGATAGCGATCAGGTGTTTGCATCAGGTAAAATGATTAGGTTACTCTGTTAGAAACATGACTGAAACTTTGGCTGTCTCATTTTTCATACGCTACAATCTCTTTCATTCTGCACAACCCTTGAACAAACTAACTAAAGTTAAAGGTCACATTTCTTTAATGCCCTGTTTCTTTAAGATCACTAAAGTCTCGGGAGAAGTCGAGAGTGGGTGGACGGTGTCTTAGTTCTATTTGTGTCTTTGACAGGAAATTTAATCAAGATAGGGCAATATGAGTCGACAAGAGAGCATAGAACTGATAAAAAAAAGTCAGATCAGTTGAAAGAACTGATCTTTCAGCATGTCTCAGTTGTGTGTGTGTGTGTGCGTGTGTGTGGTAAAGTCAGACTATGTGTGTTCTGTACATGTGCCATTTTCCTGACCTCTGATCACACAAAGTATTTTAATCCAATCAGCTTCGTTTTCACATGACTGTCACACACTCACTGCTGCTATGGTAACCTGGAGAGGAAGGAGAGGAAGATAGAGCAATGGAGTGAAAGAAGAGAAGCTATTCTCTCTCTAAAAACTGTGAAAGGGACGCACCTGCAGAATAACACACACACCGTGTTTCATAGTTCACCTGTCTGATGCTCGCCTTTAGGTGCATTTAAATAATAATTTATAAATTTTTAAAAAAAGTCTTATTTCTGAAGAAAAAGAGTGAACGCAGAGGAAGCGAGAACGCATTTATGTTAACGTGGTGACAGAGTATCGGTGGCCAGCAAGAAATTTCAGTTAGTGTAAGTGTGTGATGGGAATCCAGATGCAGTGCAAAAACCACGGCTGCACCGCTGTTCTGGCTTCTGGTGTGTTTTCGTGCTTGTTTTTTTTTTTTGCAAGTTTGGCACATCTCAACCTTTAGATAAACTTTAATGTTCGATTATGCATTAAACGCTGAATTCTGGCGTTTAATGCATGGGATTTGGGATTTCTGGCAGAGAAGATATGGTGACAATAACGAATAAACAGGACACGATGAAAACTGACAGGGCTGCAAAACCAACAGTCAGAGCAGCGTAGAGAAGCACTGAGACAAAAGGGCTGTGATCGTTAATAAAGAAAAAGGGAAGAGATACAAAACAAGCATCTTCAAGCAGTTTTAGTGGAACATGATTGCTAACAAAGATAAGTTAATGGCAACTGAGGCCAAACTCACAAATACCCACTTCCCTTGAGAGGTGAAAAGGTTAGTCTGTGCCCTGTGGTTTGTGTTTGGCACGCTACTCTGCTGCTTCTCTTTTTTCTCTTTCTGACATTTCCTGTTTTACCTCAAGCTCAAGATTCTGACTAATGCTCTGCTTACGCTGCTATACGTTGTTGCATTTTCAGGTCCCTGCAAGCATAGCTGTCGAGTTTTTTTCTTTTTCTTTTTTTTTCCACCCCAAAGGCGTAACCTGTATTTTCCCCTCAGTTTTGACAGTAACCCATGATTTAGAGCTCGACTAACAGGAGGACACCAGCCGCTGAAGTTTATTTCAGGACTGAACTCGGAACTGCATCAGCGAGCACAGCGCTCCACCTGCTGGCCATGGGTGGTATCGCCAGTCTTTGCTGGTGGTTGCAAACAGCTAAAAACTTTTGTAGGTGTGGAAATTTAAGGTTCTCCAATTGATAAAGAAAGAGAAAGTTTGTCACATGCTTCATATACAGCAATGTCCAGTATCTGACCTTCAAAGTCACTTGGATCACCTTTCTTTCCCATTCTGATGCTCATTTTGAACTTCAGCAGGTCACCTTGAACACATCTACATGCCTAAATTCAGAGTTGCTGCCATGTGATTGGCTGATCAGACAGGTGTGCCTTATAAAGTGGCAGTCATGAGTACACAAACCACATGATCAAATCTCACGCCACTGTTGACTCCATGCATGCTGCTTTACCATGATGATGACGAGCTCAGCTCAGTGTTCTGACAGACCGAGCGCCTGAGTGTAAAAGACTTTATTCGTAGAGAGAAGACAGAACAGGAAAAGAGGCGGGTTCCTTTCTAGCTGAGAGCGAACAGCGGCGACTCTCAGCTTTAAATGAAGTCTACAAATTTTACAAAACAAAAGGAGCCCGCTGAACTTCAAATGTCTCTGAACGCCTGCTTGCAGTCATGGTGGGAGCGCCGTCATGCGGCTGAGGGTTACCAGACTGTACAACAATTATTGGGATTAAATGTAATATTCCTCATCACCTGAAGTTACTCAGTATTTGAGATAGAGATTAATATATACCATATAATATTCAGAATCAAGACGCGCACACATGGAGCTTTCATTTATTGGAAATATTACAATTTTAAAGCCACTCTTAAAAAAAAAGGCAGTTCTAAGGGCTAAAGCTGAATATAATAAAGGCCACTTTTACATGACATGAAGACTTCCTCATCATTGGACCTACTCCTTATTTAACCATGCAAACATTAATAATAAGCTTTTAAATATTAACCTTCAGTGATCCACCGAGCAAGGTTTGTATTTTACTCAATAATTATTGTACAGTCACTGATTGGCTCACCATCATCCCACACGTCTTGGCTAATTAAATCAGGTCAAACAGCGTCTGCAGGCTTCCACACAGTATTTAAAAAAAACAAACAAAAAAAACAGCTGACTTGGATATCTTTTCCTATTACGTTGCCGGGGTCATTTAAAATCCTAAAAATATTAATGCCATGTCTTTGAAATCTCTTAGACTAATGGATATGCTGTGCATCACTGCCATGATTATTTTATTAAAGGAAGCGCAGGAAAAAATGAAATTAGGTGGACAATCAGCCGCTCCTGTTACAGCACAACACAGCTTTGAAAACTCACAAAACTTTTCATTTTTTTTGCACGCACGCACACACACACACTCCCACATTCGCACATCATCTGAAATCCCCGGCTACTACGAGAGCATTGTTGTGTAATTGTTATTAATAAAACTATGTACTATGACATCATTTATATTCAGAGCACACATCCATGGACAGGCGAGGACAAAATGGGCGGTGGCATGTTTGTAAAGTCTTATTAAGAGCAGGAATCCTGTGTTTTTAGTCGAAGTTGACAGCTTTTCTTAGTGTCTGCAGACTCTAAGCAGCCCATTTTCCCACTTCGGCACCTCCTCCTCCTTCTTCTTCTTTTTCCCTTTCCTCTCTTAGAGCCACCAGAAGCGTACGTAGACAATGAGCATGATGAAAAAGACACCTCCAGCTGCCAGCTTGGCATAGGTGGAGCGGGTATTCAGATACTTGGCGTCGCTTCTGTACTTTTTCGACAGGCTGGACAAGTTGCTGGCCTTGGAGTCGAGTGCTGTGAGGAGGAGAAAGCAGAGGGAGAAAAAAAAGTAAAGGGGGGTTGGGAAGGAGCAGGATAAGCACAAGCGCGCAGAGAAAACTCCCATCACGGCTCCGTTTGACCCAAACACAGATGACAGACACTCACCGGAAAGCGCCTCTCCTCTCTGCAGCACCTCCTCGATGTTCGCCACCATGATCCTCTGTACGTCCTGCAGTTCTGTGTTGATGCTGCCCAGATTCCTCCTCGCTCGGCTGTCGATGTACGACTTCTTGGTTTTTTGAATGTAGGTGTCTGAAGAGAGAGACAGCCCACAGTTATTTCAGGCTCTCTGTGTTCAGTTACTTCACAGCCCTGACTGTGACAAACACGCTGACTGCCAGGATCCACTTTCCCCGGAGGACTAAAGTGGATTTTTATTGAATTTCATAGAAAACACATTTCCCAGCTTTGAATGAGAGCAGAGAGACTGCTGATGCTGACCTATTAAACAGATCTAGTCGCACAAGAGCTGATCCTTTTCTTCCCTTTTAGTCCTCTGATAAATTCCTGTTATCAGTATTTTTCATTTAAATTTAAGTGATTCAGAAATGTTTCACACATAGACTCCTTATTAAAAACCCAGAGTTTTGTAAACACTTTTTTTGCTGCTCATATTTTGGATACTTTGTGGCGACCGACTTGTTTTTAGAGCCACAAACACATCAAGCGGCTCTTAAGAGGAGTCGCAGTTTCTGGCACCTCAGTGTCTTCAGCCTGGAGGTTTCTGTGTGGTTTCACAATGATTTACACCCTGAGTTCATCTGCAGGGAGGAAATAAAAAAATCAGCCCCCAGCACCACAACTTCACTGAACATATAAAATATTAATAGTCACCAGCAGCAGAAGCACATAAGCATGTGTCAGCATCTTAGAAATAATCAGAGAACTCTCTGTTAGTCTGAAACTGCTTGGATGATTGGTTTTCAGGTTTCTGCTGCCTGCTCTGCTCAGTATGCAGCGTTGCATACTTACATGTAACCATCACAGCTAAGTGCCAAAACCCCCTAACCTAAATCTCGTTCTAAGTTTAGCCCTAAAACCAAGTCTCAATCCTCAAACCTGCCTCTGAAGGGGTACAGACGAAGGTGAGACTTTAAGTTTCACATAATCCGATCACTTTGATGACTCTCACAAAGATAGCTGGACATGTTTTTATCGGATTTTTCTTATTTGTTGTTTGTGGCTTTATGACGAGCAGTTATAATAGCACAGATCGAGTGCTTCCTGCACAGGTTTAACATGTAACCCGGTTTATACTACTACTACTACTACATGTCTTTTCTTACCAAACTCAATGAAGGAGTAAGGCCGGGATACTGTGGGGACCTTCTTTCCGTGCTGCTCATGAAACTCTGCCTGGAGGTCCTCTAGGTAAGCAAAGGCTAGCTTCTTGGGAAAGCTGGCTTCACAAAGCACCAGGTAGCACACTCCCTTCTCTATACAATAGCTGAAAAAAAGCAACATAAAAATGTACTTTGAGTGGAGCATGAGGAAATGCACTGAAAACATCTATCCGTGTGTGCTTAATTCCTCGCAAACCACGAAGAGACGATTATTTTGAGACAGTTTGGATTCTCACTCACTGAAACGCCATCGAACCGGCCTCTAAAGTGCAGCGTGTGGGGCTCTGCTCATTGAGTTTCCTGAAGAGCTGCTTAGCTTGACTCTGATACTGCTGAAGGTCCCGGCCGAGCTAAAGAGATGAAAAGCATAAGTGGTTTAAAAAAACAAAAAAAAAAAACAAGTACTGATATCGAGCACAGAGAACACAGAAATTAATCAAAATCTGACTCGTATGCAGCAGAATTAGAAGCAAATGGGATTATTTTACCACCAAAAGAAATGAAGGCAACGTAGATTTGAGCACGTTATGTATCTGAGGGTTTTACAGACATACTCAGACAGCGGCGGGACGTTAAACGATGACACTAATTTACAGATAGATAATGTGGTTGTTTGAGAAACACATGTGATGCTGAGGCACAGAGCGGAGACGCAACAAACCTTTTCACTTCCCTTCATGAAAGCAAACAAGAGAAGGAGGAAAAGATGTTAGAGTCAAGGCGAGCACAAGCATAAAGGTTTTAAAAGCAACAACTCATGTTACAAATGGCATCCATTTGAACATTTCAAGAAGTCCACCAACGTCATCAGGCATATTTCATCTACAGGTAATAATAAAATGTGGGGAGTGGATTCTACTTCACTGGAGTCACTTAGTGTTAGCCAGTGTAATAATGAATGATAGCTATAAAGTGAGTCAGTCACTTACTAACTGACAAATAACCACGTCAGTTTCCAGCCTCCCCACCACCCTGAGCTAGATGAGCATATTAGCAAATAGATGAATGGATGGATGCTCGATCTTTCAGCCATACATCAGTACCAGCCTGGTGACGGTCTTATATTATAAGACCCTACAATAATAGAGAGAAACCCCAATAATCAGATGACCCACTATGACCAAGCGCTCGGCGACAGTGGGAAGGAAAAACTCCCTTTTAACAGGAAGAAATCTCCCACTGAACCGAGCTCAGGGAGGGAGACAGGACAGAAACACGCTGTGGAAGAGAGCCAGAGATTAATAATAATAACTAAAGATTAAATGCAGAGAGGTGTATAAAAACATAGTGAGTGAACTAAGAAGCACCAAGTGCATCATGGGAATCCCCCAGCAGCCTACACCTATTATAACTAAGTGAGGATTCAGGGTCACCTGTTCCAGCCCTAACTATATGCTTTATCTTGAATCCAGGAGAGGGGCCTGAAAGCTGAAAGCCCTGCCTCCCATTCTACTTTTAAATACTCTAGAAACCAAACGTAACCCCCCAATGCGAGATCGAAGTGCACTAATGGGGTGATATGGTGCTGAGAGGTCAAAGTTTCATATCTCAGTCCTGAACTTATGCGATGCTGTAATGGCGTGAAATAAAAAGCTGTGGCAGAAGCGGTCTGATGACTCAGTCGCTTCAGGCAGGTAAATAACGAGGTGGACAGGCCTACAGCAGGACAGGCCTACAGCAGGACAGGCTTACAGCAGGACAGGCTTACAGCAGGACACCTATCAGCAAATCAAACGGCTCAATTAACTTTCACACGCCAAACCAGAAAGAAACGACCCACATCTGGATGAAAACAAGTGCTCTAAAGGCGGACGTGACAGCTGGCAGCGGGTTAACGTTGGCTAGCGTGTCACTATAACATTAGTGCAGGATACAAGCATTCACTAATAATCCTCACCTGCTCGTCCTCCTGCATGGAGGCGGCCAGCGGCAGGCCGTCAGCCAGCCGAGCGATCATCGTCAGCAGCACCATCTCTGCGAAAAGCTCCGCTGCTCAGCACACACTGCAGGCTCCTCGAAGCTCCGTTTGACAGGCTGAAAACTGACAACACCGCAGCACTGACGCTGAGCTGGCCGGAAACGCTACAGCTTTGTGTCACAGCTAAATCCCGCCGCGGAACCAGGCGGACAGACACAAAGGTTCCGCGTCGCCGTCCCTGATACGAAACTTATTAATTTCAGGTATTTGTTAGAATATAATTACGACAATCTTATATGCGTCACATTAGATTTTGTTAAGTTCAAATTAAAATTTGCTGCTTTATCTTGTTTTTCTTCTTTTGGCTGCTTCCGCCACAGCGTGTGGTCTGCTTTCATCTCCTCCGTCACTACATCCATGAACCTCCTCTGAGGTCTTCCTCGTTTCCTCCTACCTGGCACTCCTCCTCCCCTGCACATCCCCAACCCATCTCTAACTCATCTTCCATCACTATGTCTGCTCCCTGCATCCTCACCTATCTCCTTCACATTTACACACGCGTATTCTGTCTTACTTCAACCAGTGTTCATTCCTCTTCTCACCAGGGCATACTTCCACCTCTCCAGTCTCACCTCCACCTGCCCCCTACTCTCACTGCAGATCTCAATGTTGTCTGGAAACATCATAGTCCACAGAGATTTCTGCCTCATAAAGAATGACATTTCATGAATAACATGACCTGACCCCCATCGTGAGCAAATGCTTCGAGAAGCTGGTCAGGGACTTCATCTGCTCTGCACTACCCGACTCACTGGACCCTCTACAGTTCGCATACCGCCACAACAGGTCCACTGATGATGCCATAGCCCTGACACTACACACTGCCCTGTCACACCTGGAGAAGAGAGACACGTATGTGAGAATGCTGTTTGTAGATTACAGCTCAGCATTCAATACCATCGTTCCCTCGAAGCTGGACAGGAAACTGCAGGATCTAGGACTGAGCAGCTCCCTCTGCAGCTGGATCCTTAGCTTCCTGTCTGACAGACGCCAAGTGGTCAGACTGGGCAGCATCACCTCATCCCCCATCACACTGAACACTGGTGCTCCACAGGGGTGTGTACTGAGCCCTCTCCTGTACTCACTCTACACCTACGACTGCACAGCCACTAACAACTCCAACATCATTGTGAAGTTTGCGGACGACACTACAGTGGTGGGTCTTATCACCAACGGTGATGAGACGGCTTACAGGGAGGAGGTCAGCGCCCTGACCCACTGGTGTCAAGACAACCATCTCACCCTCAACGTCGCAAAGACAAAGGAGTTGATAGTGGACTTCCGGAGGTGCAGAGAAGTACACACCCCCATCACCATCAACGGCGCTGCTGTGGAGAGAGTGAGCAGCTTCCGGTTCCTTGGTGTACATCTGGCTGAGGATCTTACGTGGTCAGTACACACAAACAAAACAGTGAAGAAGGCGCAGCAGCGCCTCTTCTTTCTCAGGAGACTGAAAAGATTCGGCATGAGACCCCCGCATCCTCAGGACCTTCTATCACTGTGCCATTGAGAGCATCCTCACTGGATGCATCACCACCTGGTATGGCAACAGCACCGCCTACAACTGCAAAGCTCTCCAGCGAGTAGTGCGGTGCTCTGAACGGATAATTGGAGGTGAGCTTCCCTCCCTCCAAGACATCTACAGGAAGCGGTGCCTGAGGAAAGCGGGGAGGATCATCAAGGACTCCAGTCACCCCAGCCATAAACTGTTCAGACTACTTCCATCAGGAAGGAGGTTCTGCAGCATCCGGTCCCGTACCAGCAGACTGAGAGACAGCTTCTTCCACCAGGCCATCAGACTGCTGAACACGTCATAGACACCTCACCTCCACTACTGGAACTTCAACATTATGCACTCCATACTGTACAGTAATGCCACTGTTTTGCACATGTCTCAACTCTGTATATTTTTATATATTTTATTTATTGTTTACTCTATTTAATTTGTAAAATATGTGTACACACACACACACACACACGTAGAAAAATATTTAGTATACACATCCAGAAATGCATATACTATTATATATTGTACATATATTTATTAGTTTCAGATGTAGCCATTCTTGTATTTTGCTTGTTTACATTATTGTATTTTGCACAACTCTGTTGCTTGTGAAGCTCGCACACAAGAATTTCACTCACATGTACTGTACCAATGTACCTGCACATGTGATGTGACAATAAAAGTGATTTGATTTGATTTGATTTGAACAGTGGTGAGGTGTATGGTAGGAGTGACAGATGGGGTTAAGGTGGGGGTAGGATTATATATGGGATCTGCTTTGAGCTTCTTCTTGTATGCAGTGGCGATGAACAGGCTGACAGATGAGGTCAGGAGGAATCTCTGTGGACTCTGATGTTTGCAGATGACACTGTGATCTGTAGTGAGAGTAAGGAGCAGTTGGAGGAGAGCCGGGAGAGGTGGAGGTTTGCCATAGAGAGAGGAAGAAGAACCGAGAAGTAAGACAGAATACATGTGCGCGAAAGAGAGGGATGGTGGAAAAATGGGTATGCAAGGAACCGAGGTAATGAAGGTGGATAAGTTTAAATACTGTACAAGACAGGCGAAGCAGAGAGTGCAGGCAGGGTGGAGATGAGTGTCGGGGGTGATTTGTGACAGAAGGAGAGCAGCAAGAATGAAAGGGAAGGTTTCCGAGATGGTAGTGAGAGCTGCTGTAATGTTTGGTTTGGTTTTAAATATCGTAGCTGTTGGTGGATGTCAGCTTGGCAGTTCTGTTCTTGTAAAAAATGAACATTTGTATTATAAAGCACTAATGCTCTTATAATGAGTATTAATCCAAGCAGTTTCCATGTGCCTTGGCTCGATACAAATGATTATTGGACAGAATGATGTCACATTTGCTCCACTTGTATTTTACAACATTGACTCGGTGGACCTGACCTGTAGGTGCAGGTTTAGATAGCAAACAGCAAAAGCGACTTTTTATCATTATGAGTTAATTGCAAATGATATTATTATAATTTTAAATAAACTTTAAAGAGATAAGAATGACCCCATTGCAGCATCACTCATTACACAGTATTCATTAGATAGATTGTTTTCGTCTGCAGTACATCCGTTCAAAGTATTTTTAGGACTGAATTTAAGTAATATTTCAAAACCAGCAGTAGTGACCGCGAGAGTTTATTTACATGTATCACTCACCAGTTTCATGACTTTAGTGCTCTCACTTGTGATGAGAGGGAGTCATGCTGCATGTACACAGGAAGTCTGTCACAGCCCTGAAATAACAGAGAAGCACAGAGTGACCACAGTTTTTTCCACAGAACAGTTTTTCATCTCTCCTCTTGTTTTATGGAGGTAAAACATCTCTGATAAGGTCAGATATGAATCAGATAAAATACCACAAGTGTCTAGTATTACAGTTTAAACATGTTTGTCCTCCCTCCATTATTTTACATTCAGTTCTGTCTCTCATCTCTTTTCCCCTCACTTCCCAACCAGCTGCAGCAGATGGCTGCCCCTCCCTGGGTCCGCTGGGGTTCTTTCTGTCCCCCTCTGCCAAGTGCTTGCTCATAGAGGGTCCTCTGATGGCTGGGGTACTCTCTCAGAAATCTTAGGTGATTTTACATTATGGTTTAAAATGCTTTGAGTCAACAGTTATTATCAGCTGAACTGAATTTTCCATTTGAAGCAGGAAACAAGTTTACCAGTCCAGCCAGTATTCGCTACACACTTACTAATAAGTTCCCTGTCATGACAAGTAATCCAGAGACCACAATGAAAAGACAATGCTTAAAAGAAAGTGATGGCAAAAGGCCTCAAAACCATTTTAAACAGCATAAAACTCAAACTCTAGCCAGATGTGGTTAAATGACAAAAATTAGTCATGTTACTGATCCCGCACCACAGTTTCTCCTGTGACTAATCCGGTATTATATTCAGTCTTCTCTCAGCTGCTCCCTGTATGGGTCGCCAGATCAAATCACCTGCCTCCATCTCACCCTATCCCAGCATCCTCCCCGGTCACATCAATACTCTGCATGTCCTCCTGCAGCTACAGCTGCATCTTCATCATCATCATCTCCCTCTCAGCCTTGCCTCTCTGACTTTGAGCTGTCCCTCTGTCTCCAAACCAAACAGCAGGTCTTGCTGTCTGTTGCTTTGGATAGCTCAGGCTCGCATAATTCAATCTCATTCTTTATCATCCACATGTTCAATTTGGCCACAATGTTACGGATGCCCCTCCTAACACAATCCACCCCCCTTTATATGGGCCTGAGACTAACACTAGGAGTGTCTCGGTGGCTTGTGGCCCCCTTGTGGCTGGGTTTGGTTATTGTATACAATACTATTTACAATTTTGACCAAATACAAACTGACAGTTAATATTTAAGACGTAAGCAATATTTTCCTGAAAGATCGGCTTTGAATGCAGTTTAAAACTTTAGTTTACATCAGCAGTTTAAAGGAGCAGAAGGCAAATCTGAGGGTTGGTGTGTAAGTTAAGAGAGGAAACTTTGTCAAAACTGTAAGCAGTCCAGATAGCTGAGATCTATAATGAGCCAAAGTCTAAAATGTTTCCAGTCAAATGTAATCATTTAGTCTCTAACGGTGTGTTTTAGCTGAATGGGCTTTACGTCACTTCGCATCTCTTACAACACAGCTTAAGAGAGACAAACACTGGATAAACACATACGTACTGTGTCACAATGACCTCATGAAGTCCTCTTTGTCTGATCTAGTTTTTCTTAGCACGCACACATTCCTCCGAAAGGACTAAAGAATGTGCTGACTGTGAAACACAAAAACCAGTCAGCGCACTTGTGCCTGATATTCTTAATGATTTGAAAGTACACAAATGAACACGCATAAGCATGCTGAGGATGAAAAAAATGCAAAATATTCCAAAATATCCTGGATGGGAGATGGTTAATTCAGCAGCTGAATCCACCGGCAATGTATTTCAGTCATCTGAAACAAAACTTTAAAAGTAAAACAAACAAAAAAAAAAATGAGTGTGTGTGTGTGTACTGGATTAAAAATAAAAACTAGACAGTTGGTCTGAGAATTGCAAGGTCTGCAGCGTCCGCTCCTGGCATTAAACCATCTGAACTGCCTTCACAGAAGTTCTCACACTTGACAATCATATTGCAGTGCATTTGATCAGCAGCACCAGGCCGATACCCTCTCGGGTCCTATGGACGTGGTGACCGTGTACTCAGTTTTCCACAGTTAGTCTCTACTAAGACTAAAAGAAACATAATCAGTGCTAATCAGCAAAGAGATAAACTCCTTTATTAGTAATAAATGCCCGACTGTTATAGTTACAGTGCATTTCCCTTTTAAGACAGAAAGTAAACAATAATCAACAAAAATAATCAAGGCCTCATTCTTCTCATGTGTTCAATGCTCCCTTTCATCATTAGGATCTTTATAGTGTCCGACACCTTTTCATACAACAGGTCATATTACTTAACTTCAGTCTTCATTATCCTGTCTCTCACGGATACAGCTCGTCATAACTGTCATTTTCAATTTTGTATTCAATTGAAGTCCATTTTGAACCTCACAATAAGTCGAGAAGTGAAGCAATGATGCCCACTTTGTAACTTTTGTACTATAAAGAAATAATTTCCAGTTGTTATTAAAATGTCATTCCATGAGTCTTAAATAGGAGCACTGACATGAGTCAAATCAGCTTTAGTCATGGTTTCAAACAGTAAGACCAGGATAACACTGCCGATTTGTGACGGTCTCCATTCTCACAAATGTAAAAACGGTGCTACATTTTCTACAGCATCATTTTTTCCATATTACATTAAAAGAGCAAACCTTTGAAGTCAGTGGAGAATGCCCAGAAAAATACATACGCTCGCTACAAACACATCATGTGGCTGTCAAAAAACAAAAAAGATTTTTACTTCTGCCCTGTTTCGCCTGCTCACACCTCGAACATTAAAGGTTTGGTAATGTGAAACATCTGGTTACAGAGCAGCTGAAAAACACTCCTACATGAGGGGAATAACTGATTTTTTTATGTTAGTGTGTTACAATGTGATGTTCTGCTGGTAAACCGCAGGTCCTAGTACACAAATATACTCCTAAAAATGGCTAAAGATACATAAACAAAAAAAAGCTTTCCAGGTGCCTGGAGCTTCTGATCGAGAATGTGGAGGATGTGTCAGAGCTGTTCCAATCCAACGAGGCTCGTCTCTGCAGCCCATTGCTGGCCAAGATCCAACAGCTCAGAGGGCTCCTGTTCACGCCTCACTGTGTTTTTCTGGCATAGGTTTAGCCCACTCAATATTCAGTCTATAATGTTGTAGTTAAACAGTGTATGACTGAAGTATTTTATTTTGAATTAAATTTTTATTTTACTCAGTACATGGCAAAAGTTTGGAGCCACCCCTTGTTTCTTCATATTTTGCTATGAAATTTTGAAACGGGTACAGCGATTGTTTCAAACATACATGGGAAAAACAGCATATAAGGCAAAAACTGAGTTTGTATGTTTAGCACCTTTATCCTTTAGCATAGTCTGAACTCTGAGCAGCTCTCTGTCATCTCTGTGAGGATCTTCAGGAATAGTTCTCCAGGCTTCTTGGATGTTTCTACCTCTGAGCTTTGATTGAGAGCAATTGATTGTGGTGACACTCCTATAGGGCTTAAAATCTGGGACTCACCACCAATTGCTCTTAGAACTGAAGAAGCTTCTCGGATGAGAGGTGAACCGTCTTCAAGGAAACTTAAAGAAGTTCAGACACTTTTCTTTCCAAGCTTCTTAGACTACGATGACCTGGATGACTGAGAACCTTCACAGACATGACGAACCACCATCTCGCTGGTGTACCTCTGTACTTATTGACAAAATAATGAACTAAACTTTCAAATTTGGATTCTTCACTCGATCAGACCTGTTTACACTGATTTTCAGTCCAGTTTCATACCTCCGCCATACCCTTGTTTCCCTTCATTAAGCATCATTCACATTCCTCTGGAAATGCTCAGGTGCAAGGACTGGATCACAAGCGAGTGAATAAGCAGCTTTCTGAAAGCCTCGAGAACTTAAAGATTACAAGAAAGTCTGGCTCCTTGGAAGGAAAATATAAAGGAATGAAGGGTGGCTCAAGACTTTTGCACAGTCCTGTATAATGCCATGTTTGCAGTTAACTAATACGAGGACACTTAACACAGTTGGGTAAAGACCTAACAATATGGAGAAACTCTTTGGAGAGAGTCTGTGTAATCTATTATTGGAATGAGGGATGTTCAAGCATGTTCAAGTTATTCAGGAAAGATACTGTCATATTTCTGTTTGATGGCCAGAGCACGAGCAGCTGGACATGTCATCACCGGGAGACGAGGGGGTCCCAGATCCAAGCCCGACAGCTCGTTCATCAACTGTTTATTTACTCCCACATCAAAACCTGTCAGCAACAACAGCACATTATAAAATGCAGGGGGAAAAAAGACACCATTAGAGGATTACTATGTCAGTGCAAAGCTATCACTTACCAAGTTTGATGGCAAAACTCACAAGCTCCTGAATCTTGAACTGCTCGTGGAAATCAGATTAAAGATGTACAGATGTGAGCAAAGTGGTACAAATGATCAAGGACACACAGCAGCGGTAGAGAGATCAGCAGTACCTGTATCGTCCTGGCTTGGACGAGGTCGCCGGTCTCGAACGCCGATATGAGCTTGTTGACGTGACATCCTACGTAATTATATGTGCTGCGTGCAGAGAAATAAAACTACTGAGCATAGAGAAGGAATAAAGACAGAGCATCGTGCAAATGAAAAGTCACACACACACACACATACACACCTGCCAACTGCTCCATGGACTCCCATTACCAAAGCTCCTAGAAGTTGCTATTTTTTTAAACGAATTACATTTTTTAGGATAGTTCCACGGCTAAGGTTAAAGTGACAACATGCTACAAAAAGAGGAAAGACTGACCTCGTCTATGCCATAGAGGACTGACCAGTGAGGCGGAATGTAACTGATACACTGGCCCAAGTCCATCAGGTCACTCCCAGTGAACTTGACACCTCTAAAGGAAGGGATGACCTTCTCAATACCTTCTATTAGTTCTCTCACGTTCACTGAAGAAATAAAACAAACAGGAAAAAAAACAAAAAAAAAAAAGAAAAGAAAAAGAAACCCACATTATAAAAGACATATAAAAATTTAAATGGTTAGAAATGTCCAAATCTCAGACTGCCTCACCGTTGACACCAGTGACTGATGGGACATGATAATAATAGAAGGGCAGAGTTGGAGCAGCTGAAGCCACTTCCTGGAGAAAGGTCCTCAAAACATCTGAAGCGGGGTGACAAGAAAAGAGATGCATGTTGTCATGTATGAAATGTGTTATTAATGCTGCAATATGCATGTCTAAAAACATCACACACCTGCACTGCTGGGCTTGAAGAAGGACGGAGCAATGACTGCTATACCATCGGCCTCAATCTGTGCTGCATGGTGAGCCTGGAAGAAGGACAATGAAAGATAGGAAATGAATGGATTATCAATTATCTAAAAAAAGAAAAGAAACTCCATTAGATATTAATAACAAGGCAAATTATTACCTATGACATTTGGATATTCTGAATAGATTTATAATCACCACAATAAACGCCATTGCCTGATAACATCTGACTGGTCACGCGATGTGTGACATCATGTGCTCTGGAGACTTTACACCAGGCCTCACAGTCTGCTCTCTCCTCACTGGCTGTTTTTTCCTCTTTGACACACTCGCTCAGACTTACTGTGCACTCAGGCCTTGCATGCACGCTCATGTGCTGACAGACACACACGCACATAAGTTTGATTTGTTGACTTCTTTGTCAGCCTCTTTTAAGCAGGGTTGTGACACAGTGAACAGACCTCTAACCCGCACCAAACAACATGCTGTTCTTTAACTGACATGTGACTGTCACACAGGACGTCATGTGCCAGATTATTCGCTGACTGGGACCAGATATTTCCTGGACTCGGCCCCCTGCAACACAGTGACTGCCTCACATTTCAATAGCTTTACCATTTAAACTAAACACATTTAATATAAAGTAATATAGAAACAGTGTTTTATTTTTACTGCAGGCACATGTGGTGCCTGAACACACCGCTAATATTAAATCTGACTTATCTGATGGCCATGTTGTGTATACCTCAGGTTAAGGCAAGGCTAAGCCTGCAATACTGCCTGACTAGGTCAATGTGGCGGAAACTCCACTTTAACCCTGTGTTACTAAATTTAAACATATTTTCACACAGGAGCTCGACAGAAAATGGAATCATGACATAACTCACCAGTTCTTGGGTGTCTTTAAGACTCAGGCAGCCAACATGAACAATCACCTGATCCATCCTGTGGAGAGGAGAACATTTCCTCAATATCTATTTTTTAACTGTATACTTATCACTTTAAAGCCCATGGTGACTCTAGAGAATAGCTACAATGTGCATGTGCTTGTTCGATTGTTTCTTTGCGTAATTTTGGGGGGTTTTTGAGTAAAAATCCAATTGCCTGCGATGACTCACTTGCCCTTTGCTTTTCGACACCACTCCTCAGCCAGGAGCTTCCTCTCTTCCACACTGAGAGACATGCTCTCGCCCGTGGTGCCATTCACTGCAAGCAAAGAAACATCTGTCCAAGATCCACATCACTGAAACTTAAATCTCAAGATTCTCAGTCTTAAAAACCAAACAAGATCAAAAAGCACGTCAATAAATAGACATAAAAGGATGGCGTAGCCTATAACAGTCTAGCACAGCCCACTTGCCACCGCTTCAGCAAAGGATAGAAAAACTGTAAGAAATGAAGGAAACCGCCACGGCGAACCAGTCATCGTGGAACTTGTGCCACAGACTGCTGACTGTGCGATAATTCACAGCACAAAACTATTTCAAGTCTAGAAAGCAGTGGTGCAGACAATGATGGGGAAATTAAATAGAGCTGGAAGAGCATAAAAACACAATGAGGTACAAAGATCAGCACAAACATCCTCTGCTGACTAAGCACTCACAGAAAGTAGTGTGGAAATGAGACGTTAACACAGGAGAAGCTCAGGCTGAGCTATAGTGATTCAAAGGAATTTTGGTGAAGTGGAAAATGAAGCGGTAAGCATTTCAGAGTCACGCCTGGCTCACGGGGAGAGCTGTGCAGAGGAAAGGGCAGGATCTTGACATTGTCTAAACTTTTCTCCATGTATGTGCCACCAAAAGAGCCGCAGATAACAGTCGGCACTCGAGACGTGGGAATCTACTTCAGCTTGTGCAGAAATTTCAAGGATGAGTGTCTGAACTGAAGAAGAATGCTTAAACTGCAAATAACAAGCGTAAAGACCAATGTGCCCTTTTTCCAGGAATATTATTACACGGGGAAGCAATGGTCTTCATTAACAGCTCACAGCAGCATTAAAAAGGCACCCTGTGGAGGTTGGTTTCCTGGAGGAACAATGGTGCAATAACTGCCTCACAGCACCTGGTTTTTAGTGTTTTGTGGACTGGACACAGCAGGAAAACTGCAGAATAATCCCACCAATCAGATTACGCAAAGGGATATTCAAAGGTTGAGACTGAGTGGGGTTTCTTTGCATGTTTCACTCTTTTCTCTGGGCTATTTTGCCTCCAGCCACACGTCACTGCAAGTTCAACAAAAACATTGCATTCATAATCCAGAGTTGATTTTTGCAGTAACTCTTTGTTTTCTCTGTTTATCTGTGGAAATTTCACACCAAAGGTATGCACTAGCTGGGACTAATTTTGAATACGCCGCCCCAGCAGCTGCAGGAGACCAGTGTGTTGCATCCTTGCATGGATATGATAGATGTGATATACAATATTTCGAGTAAAAATTGATGGAAAGTTTCTAAAGAGCTGGATATTATACTCAGAAGGAATCATCAGTTAAACGTTTGCATGGGATTTTTATTAGAAGTCAATAATGTTTTATTGAGTTGTGCAATTCAGCTAACTTGCTATGGTTTTATCCAACTCTGACTACATATAAAACCATACTTTAGATTATTTTTACACCAGGGAATGTGATTAACAAAGGAGCAACATATCTACCACAGTAAAACAACAGTATGTATACAAATCAGCGGATGAATCATGCAATATTAGAGTTGATTCAGGTGGGGATACAGAAAAAAAACACAAATATGAAAAGAAAGAATCCACAGGTAAACTTACCAAACACGTTATTTACACCTTGCTTCTCTTTCAAGTAGTCAATATAAGGTCCAATCACTGATAGGTTGATTTCACTGTTTTGGGAGAATGTGAAAAATATAGACCTACACATGTGGCAAATAACAATACCTGACAACAGGTGTGTAAGACGCCCGTCCCTGCGCCTCCCCAGTTTCAATACATCTCACACACTTTTACTGAACAGACACACAGGAGGAAAGAGGCTTCAGATCTCCTTACCCTTGACTGGTGATCGGAGTGAATGTGGCTGCAACAAGTCCGGTGAGCTTTTTGTCGGCGGCAGGAGCCATGATAGACATGTTCTGGCATAGAAAGGCACACTGGAGTGAAACAAAAGAAACACCGCAAAACAAACAGGCGAGACACAGCCTTTGACATCAGCACACTCACAAACTTTATAATACACCACAGAGCGCTGGGGCACGGTGTGTAAACAGAAGAATGGCTGTAAACTGATATACTATGAAAAGGAAATTATGGAGCATCAAAAGCAGTTCCAAAGACGATCTCCAGCTTACCTGCACGGTCTTTCCTTCTGGGAGCCGCTGGCATAGGTTTTAGTTTTAAGGGAAGTGGATCTCTGGCTATAACTTGTTTTTTTGGACAGGGATTTGCTGAAATGCTCGTCACGTGAACATCAAACAACTAAACGTCAATGGACATCGCAAAGATCCATGGGAAATGTAGTTAGTTGGGGGGGATTGGATAACAAGTAAATATGAACTTTATCCGCTTTTATATTAAAATATTTCAAATTAAATACCTTCCTCACCTTCACGCACACACATATCGGACAGCAACTCTGTTGCTTGTGAAGCTCGCACACAAGAATTTCACTCACATGTGCTGTACCAATGTACCTGCACATGTGATGTGACAATAAAAGTGATTTGATTTGATTTGATTTGACTGTTTTTTAAATGTATTGATAGGACTGAATTTACTCAGCATTCATGGTGCATTCAATTTCCATCAGGATATTTCTTAATTGTAGCGCTACCAGCGCGTACAGAAAAGTAGTAAAAAGTTAGAATAGATTTTGAATGTGGCCATACAGTTACGGGACAGTCACATAAGTAAAATATCTAGTTTTACAGGCGGGGAGCAATAACGCTGTGCCATACAAGCAAAAGTTACTAATAGTAAACAAAGAAAACATAATAAAAGCAGGAATTCACATAAAATGACAGATATTTGGCTGAATTTGTTTCGTCTGCGGTATTGATAATTATTAGAATATTGTTGTGTTTTTTTTGCCTTAGATTAAACGCCGTGATTGCAAATTTAATCGCTGTGATTGTACTTTTTCCGAGCTTTCATGAACGACACAGAAGTGCAAATTTATTTTGTGTTCCTCATTTTTGACTGTCAGGTAGCTCTCCCGCCTCGTTGTGTAACCGTCATGTTACCGGGGGTGTAATGTGTGTAACTCCCATACAAACATCATCAGTATGCTATGTGTTTTCTGCCAGGCTGGTTACTGACTCGGAGTTCCATTAAATCCCAACCGATAGCTCTTTAACTGCATCTCTGAGCCTGACAGAAAGTGCTGCAGGACAAATAAAACCTACGACCACACCGCCTACTCTTCCAGGAAGCGGATGTTGTTGACGTTTTCATCGTAACAGCATCCGGTTTTTTGACGGCAGCTAGCTTGGGGAAACACAGCCGTACAGCGAAATTATCAACTTAATCGCAAAAAACACGGAGAAGATACCCAGGAAAGGCCCGCTGTTCAGCGATGGAGAGGTGTTTTTTCGACCCATCTCGTATTCCCGGGTCGCCCGTTGTCACCTGCCCGGCTAGTTAGCGCCGCTCAGCTAATTAGAGACCGACAAGTGCTCGGCTTCTTCTGAGTAGCAGACGATAGAGAGCTGTCAAGAGGAGGAAATCATTAACTCTCCTGTAGTAAGCTTTTAATCTAACAGGCCGGGCGATAGCCGGAGGTGTTGCCTTAACTCTTTAATTTGTTCCAGGCTGTTTGAGGACAGGAGTTATAAACACAGATAAGGCATGAACTGTTAACTCGGAACAGTCTGGTTTGGCTCACATTGAGTTATAAAGATCACCGGGAACCGTTATAACGTAAAAAAAGAGAAGCTTTCCCAACATTTCCCACTGGTGTGTTAGGCGAAAACATCTGGAAAACAGCGGTTTGGTTTCCAGCTGGATTGGTTTGGCACGGCGGGGTTTCGTGTTAATGGGGTTTTAAATGTAACGTCAGGGTTTTCCATGACAACGTGTCACACATCCTGTGTAGAATCAGCCCAGGGAAAGTAAACAGGTGTGACACGTACAGGGACCCGTTCCCAAGAGGTGGCGCACATTTCCACTACAACCAGTCGCTGGCACATACTGTCAGCTAGGCTTAAATATCTGGTTACTTGAACTCATTCCTGCTAAGATATTTACCTGTAGTTTCAGCTGTGGACGCACATTTTACCTAGTCACTCCTTGGGGTCTACACCGATAGAGTCGAAGTAGCCAAAACTAACTCTTCGTGCTGTTTTTGAGCATTGCTCATTAGACATTACCTCACAGGGAAAACTAAAAAAAAAAAGAATGATTGGGATGGCATAAGTTAGTTTGTCAGGGTGGTCTCAAAGATTAGATAGTGTACTTTTAGGTTTGTATGCATTTAGCTGTAATCTTCCCAGCACACCGCAATGCCACTAGTACTGTTATTATTGATGCTGTTTGGAGCATTATGTAGCCCTGGACAGGCCATGTCCCGGGAGGAGAAGCAGAGATTGAAGTAAGTTGAAGAAAAAACACTCATGCTTTTTCTCATCTGAGCAGATGTTATACCTGCTGACTTCTGTCCGTTCTGCTTTTGTTTAAGGAACCAAGTGGTTGAGATGTTTGATCATGCATATCAGAACTATATGGTGAGTAAACAGAAGAGCTGAGTGAGGTTCATTATTTATTTGTTCAAATCTGCGAACACACAGCATCAGCACTTTGTCTAAAGTGTGTTTGTGTGTTTCCTAGGACCATGCGTACCCAGCTGATGAGCTGATGCCTCTAACGTGCAGAGGACGAGTCCGTGGGCTCGAGCCCAGTCGTGGAGACATAGATGATGCACTTGGCAAGTGAGTAGCAGGCTGCCTTTGTTATGACCACAGCAGTCCGAGGCGATTTACTTACCTTACTGCTTTGGAACTCGTCGGGAAGTTTTGTCTGTTTGTGTCACTCTTGATAAACTGCTACGATTTCCCTCTGAAAGGTTTTCGCTGACCCTCATCGATACTCTGGACACTTTGGTGGTGAGTAGGCTTTGTTTGCATCTGATGTTTATTTGTTTAATGAAAAATAATAAATGAATAAGAATCACAGGCTGTGTAGAACAGATGATTCCATATGCTGTTTTGCTTAACAATTAGATCGGAGCACTGTGTCTAGAGTCCTTAATACTAAATATAAATTCCCTGTTAGGTATTTCTGGGATTATTTTTCTTTCCAGTGCATTTCATTTGATATTTAAACTATGTGTAATTGAGCCCAGTTTCACAGTCATCCGTTTCTGGCTTGCAGCTTTTAAATAAGACGACAGAGTTTGAAGACGCAGTGAGACGAGTCCTGTCAGACGTGCGGCTGGACAACGACATCGTCGTGTCCGTCTTTGAGACCAACATTCGAGTCCTCGGGTGAGATTGGATTAAATTGTCTTCAGATAGTTAAAGTCAACAAATACAAGCCCGTGCACTGTCCCACATTTAAAATGATAGGATTGCGTTGTACTAAATTCGCTGTATGTGGATGTTGTGTGTGCGTGCGTCTGATCAGAGGTCTGCTGGGAGGACACTCCATGGCCGTGATGTTGAAAGAAGGAGGTCAGCACATGCAGTGGTACCAGGATGAGCTCCTACACATGGCCAAAGACCTGGGGCTTCGACTGCTGCCCGCATTCAACACCAGCAGCGGCCTGCCTTATCCCAGGGTGAGACAGAAACACTTGGGCGGAATTACAGACTGTATGTAAGTTGATGTAGGCTTGACCCCTGCAGGTTGTAGAAGTGCAGGTATGCAGGGTCTCCCTAATTGAGGCAGTGTCCTGCTTCCTGCCTCTGGGCAGTTACATTTTTGTTTAACTTACATGTTGCATATATCCTGTTGAACTGTGGTTGATCTGGGTAGATTGGCTGTTTTTCTGCCTGGCAACAGATTGTGGTGGGTAGGCAGCAGGGTATGGATCCTTTGATGAATTCCTCAGGACAACGCCATGAGTACCTTGTACTGACTGAATTCCTTCTTGCAAGAATAAAGCCAAAAGCCAACTCTAGCATTGTTACTTCTTTTATTAAATGCACTAAATGTCCACAGGAGGTTTCCAAATGTAGTTTTTAAAAAAAGGGGTGTTATTGATGTTCTGCGGCTTGGAGGATAGCAGCAGCTCGCTTGTTGTTCAGTAAGAAGAGTGCAGGTCATATGTGACGCAGTCATAGAGGCGATCCACGTTTGTGCGATGGAAAAAATAGAAGACTTGCAGAATCTTTAGTAAAGATGTTTTGTTTTATGTGTATTACAAAATAAATGTTTGAGTTTATTCACATACAGCAAACAGTTACCTGCGTTTGCTCGGGGCATTCTTTCACTTCACGGCTTCATGTTTCCATTTTCTGCTTCGCTGCTCCGCTCGCAGCTGTCACCGCTCGCAGCTGTCACCGCTCCCCGATGCAGACGTTCTCTCGGCCGACTTGTTTTCATGCAAATCCTCTCGCAAGATCAAACGCGTCTCTCAAAGCAGAGTTTTAATGTTTTTCTTTTCCTTTCCGATTGACAGGTGAACCTGAAACATGGCGTCAGGGGGCCCGAGACGAGGACGGGCACAGAAACGGACACCTGCACAGCGTGCGCAGGAACCATCATCCTGGAGTTTGCCGCTTTAAGCCGTTTCACTGGGGACCCTGTGTTTGAGGTAACACGCGGCCGGTCGTATGATCACGTGGTGCAGCAGGGACATTAGCACTCAGCAAAGCATCACGAGCAACACATTTCAGCAGTAATTTAAAATCGGCTCATCTTTTTCCATCATCCGTTTTCTTCTGCTGATCTAGTTCAGATTGAGCTGTTAGTCTTTTTGACATTTGCAGTCACTTACACACCACATGTCTCTGTTTTAGTTGTATCGCCTCACCGTTTCTGCACCTTGAGGCACTTGATGGCTGTCTGAGAGCTCTTATTGTGTCTCAAGCAGCCACGCCCAACATGCAGTTTAAGTTTCATTTGAGATCAGTTTGCAGATCCTTGCCTTTATGAAACCACCCTGTTATGTAATGATATGTAAATATTAAAATGCCACGTAGTGTCTCATATTTACAGGTGAGATGTCGTTCTGTTTTTTTCTTGTTTAACATGTACTTTTTTAACAGTGCTCGTATCTTAATGATGATACACCGTAACCACCTGTGTTTTACCCCCCGCCTGGGGCTGCACATATTTATAGTAACTGAGTAAACTCAGCTCAGTCACCTCTTTTTGAGAACAAAAACATCTTCCCAGTTCCCTTTTTGCTGTTACACAAGTGCACGCAGACTTGAAAATTGCTGTTTGTCATCATTTCTGTTCATTTCTGCGCTGATGTTAATCAGGAAGCACCTGATGGTGTTTCTGTTTCATTAGTTTGCCGTGCAGATTTTTGACCTCGCATAAAGTCAAGTCATTTTAATGCCAAGTCTTGTTTCCTTTAACTATTCTAGTAAGCACATCGCCATGTTGTCATTCAGCTAAATATGCCTTTATTTATCCTCCGCACGTGTCATTTTCCTTTTTTAAAAAGCTGCTCGTGGAAATATAATAAAACGAGTCACATCAGGAAATATTTGCTCTGTTTTTTTTTTGTTTTTGTTTTTTTAAATCAGCGTTATTCTGATTACAGGTATTTTTCTTTGGCTTTCTCTGTGCTCCACACTGTTTCAGTTCCTGGCAGCAGTAAACTGCTGAATAAGCACAGAGTCAGTTTCTGTAATCCTTCAAAGAGTGCAGAGCTGCTGCAGATAGATTTTTCCTGGTCAATCGATAAAGCACCCTTCCCTTATCACAGGCCCATGCCCGGAGAGCTCTGGACTTTCTTTGGGAGAAGAGGCAGAGAAACAGCAATCTGGTGGGAACCACTATCAACATCCACTCTGGAGAGTGGGTCCGAAGAGGTGAGAGAGCAGGTGCAGGGAGGACTTGTGACTGAGGAAGAGAGAGAAAGACTGGGGGAGTGTTTGTTATTAAAGGAAGGAAATAGGAAAAGTGATTTGAAGTACGGTAGGATCTTGTGGGTGAACTAGAACTCTTGTGTGTCCTCTGACTCCTCTCGTCTTATAAAGTGATGATTTTGTGTGTTCCAGACAGCGGAGTCGGAGCGGGAATTGATTCGTATTATGAATACCTGCTAAAGGCCTACGTCCTCTTGGGAGACGACCTGTTTCTGGAACGGTTCAATATTGTAAGCGCGCGCGCACACACACACACACACTTTGGTGGAGTAATCTGATGCTTCACTGTGTGAATAATAGCATTTGTCACAATGGCATCTCCCTTATGAAGCAGCGTTACAGATTTAAGATTGCTCGCTTGAGCCGAGTCCTTGATCACAAAGGTCGCTGTTCGTGTGACGCTCCTAGAACATTTTGTCACCCAAGAAGAATAGTTTGAACTTTTTTATACATGACAGATTTCTGTATTTATCTTTTCTCTTCTCACTGACGGGACTGGAAACATGCACACACCTGCCAAGTCACACCAAAACTGGTCACAGTTTACAGTTAATAAGTAATAAAACAAAATGCAGTCTGTTCTGTTTATCTTAACGGTTGTATCTTCTTTGCGTGTCCCATTTAGCACTACGCATCTATCATGAAGTACATTAGCCAGCCTCCTCTGCTGCTGGACGTCCACATCCACAAACCTCTGCTTCCTGCTCGCACCTGGATGGACTCTCTGCTGGCCTTCTTCCCGGGGCTGCAGGTCAGATTAGATCACGTGAACTCGAACCATTTGCTGGTCGTTTAGCATTTCACTAACACGACTAACATTTCTTATGTCCCAGGTGCTGAAGGGAGATATCCGGCCTGCCATCGAGACTCATGAGATGTTGTACCAAGTTACCAAAAAACACAACTTCCTGCCAGAGGTAGTCTGTCACTGTTGGCTTCATCTTCTTAGTGAAATTTAACCACTCGGTCAGATAACTTCATGTGACTTGTGCTGCCAACTAAAACAGTTTGAAACGAACAAGCTTGCATTTATTGCTACACTGCTGCATTTTCCCTTCATCTGTCTGTCCTATTTACGCTGCTTAGCACGAGTGCGCTGACCCCTTTGTCCTTCTCCGGTTGTCCTCAGGCCTTCACTACTGATTTCAGGGTACACTGGGCCCAACATCCCTTGAGGCCTGAATTTGCAGAGAGCACCTATTTCCTTTACAAGGTAATTTATCAAGTAGTGTGACATAATGCAGGCATTCTCATTTCACAGTGCCGGATTAATATCATGCAGTAGTTTATGCTAAGCCTGCTTTTTCTACTATGTTTCTGACACATCTCAAGGCGCATGAGAATGTATCTAGTTTGTCAGAAATGTTGTAATAATTAAGCACCTTTCAACATACAGATCACTGATATGTGTTTCTAGATATGTAGTCTCATTAAAAATCCCTGATGTGCTCTCCTTGTGTTGTGATCACACTCCTGCCCTCTCGTTCTTCCAGGCCACAGGAGACCCTTACTACCTGGAGGCAGGTCGCACCATTATGGACAACCTCAATCGCTTTGCTCGTGTTCCCTGCGGCTTTGCAGCAATGAAGGATGTACGGACAGGCAGCCACGAGGATCGGTGGGAACGATAGACTCCTTATTTGAATGACGATTGTGAAATCAGGCACTGTGTTTAGATATGCTTACACCACATTAGATTTGCATACAGGAGAAAATGCATGGACAAAATAAAATGTTATCACATTCGATGGTGTGCCATCATTTAATCTTTGGATGGGGATTGTGGCAAAAGCATTTTATAAACTACACTGGGAGAAGAGAGAAATCTGGTGAAGGTGTCTCCGATTGCTGAATCAAACATGTGCATCCATGTCGCTGTGCAGTAAGGAAACTTCTTTGCAGTTCCCAGAAATTAAAGAATTTATTTGGTCTTTTTCCCCCAGAATGGACTCGTTCTTCCTCGCTGAGATGTTTAAGTATCTGTTCCTGCTGTTTGCTGAACCGGACGACATACCGTTTGACGTGGAGGACTACGTCTTCACGACTGAGGCACACCTGCTGCCCCTGTCTCTCTCCATGGCCCCTCACTCCTCGCCTGCTCCCTCAAATCGAACGGTGACGAAAACGATTCCACTGTAACGAAACTTTTAGAAAGTGATGAAAGCATGGACACCTTTTGATTTAAACGTCTGGTTCCTGATGTTTCAGTCAGATGAGGAGCTGGACGACTCAAACTTTGACTGGACTTGTCCCAATACGCACCTCCTGTTTCCTGACCCTGCCTTCCCTCGCATCCTGAGAGAACCGATCCGTAGTGCCGTTGATAAGAGCTGCCCGCGCCCTGCCCCTTACAGGTATGCACGCTAAACAGGTTAAACCGGGCTGGCAGTAATGATCTGTTTTCTATAGTCGCTCACCTCTTCTGTCTTTCATTTTCTCTGCTTCTTCCCATGCCTCCTGTCAGGGAACCTGGTATGGGCCGTCCTCCCCTCAGGGCTCAGGACTTCATGGCAAACAACCCTGAACATCTGGAGCTGCTGAGGAGGATGGGAGTCAGTCTCATCCACCTAAAGGATGGCAGGGTTCAGCTGGTCCAGCATGCTACACAGGTCAGATGAACAAACACAGTATCCATAGCTGAGATAAGTGGGTTTACTGCTGCTTCTCAGCTGTTTCACTCTGAGCATTAGAATCAGAATAACCAGGTTTAAGAAGCTCTTTACGAACCGCTCTGACCACACAGCCAGTCTCTGGAAGCAATGGGGGAAAAATATCTTTTAAAATCTGAAAATATTTCTTTATAATTTATAAGTAATAAATGCAGAAGAGCATGTGCGCATACAAGATCTCCGACATTTTGGGCCAGATGACTTTCACAGGTCCTTTCATCCTTTAAACGCTCTCTCCCGCTCTGTCGCCCGCAGGCGGTGAGCGCAGTGGCAGCGGAGGACGGCGTGCGGTTCATGCAGGAGATGATGGAGCTGTCCAGTCAGCAGCAGAAAGAACAGCTGCCTCCGAGAGCCATTCAAATCGTCTCTCATCCATTCTTTGGCAGGGTGGTGCTGACCGCCGGCCCGGCACAGTTTGGCACGGATCTGTCCAAAAGTTCCACAGGGGTGAGTGGGCTCGCCAAGCTTCGGGGTTACAAGTGGTCACTAAAGGGTCCTTCTGTTGTTGTTGGGTTTTTTTTGTAAGCGAGGCGCTCACGTTTCCTCTTCAAGATCACAGATGGAGAGACGAGTGCTTGCTCGCAGAGCTCTGAGATACGTGCTGTTAGTGTCGGTCTTTGTTCTTTCTGTAACTTCGCCTCTTTTCCGCCTCGTCTGTGCAGGTGCGGGGCTTTGTCACTGTAGCCGAGCCCTACAGCGGCTGCAGTGAGATCGTTAACGCCGAGTACATCCAGGGTCACATCGCTCTGCTCCAGAGGGGTCAGTGCATGTTTGCAGAGAAGGCCCGGCACATCCAGAAGGCTGGCGCCATTGGAGGCATAGTCGTTGGTGAGCGCGAGCAGCAGATGACTGCTCAGTGACTAGATTAGCGCTCGACAACCTAATTATCTCAAAGACAGCCAGCCCAGTAATTTCTGCTCACAGCATCGTGATTAAACGGCAAAGCAACACTTTTCTGACCAGATTCCCGAACAATAAGTTCTTTTTATGTTTCATATAGAAAAACGAGCAGCTGTTTTAAAAAACAAAAAAAACCCATATCATTGCAGACGATAACGAGGGCAGCAGCAGCGACACAGCTCCACTCTTTCAGATGGCGGGGGATGGCCGCAGCACCGATGACATCACCTTACCTCTCCTCTTCCTGTTCCACAAGGAAGGCAACATCCTGCTGGAGGCGCTGAAGGAGTACAGAGAGGTGGAGGTGCTGCTGAGCGACAAAGCCAGAGACAGAGGTGTGACACTCTCCCTAATGGTTCCTCTTTGTTCCTCTCCACTCGGTTCGTGAGACTCATCACGTCAGTGTGCTTATTTATGCCTCCGCTGACTGAGCCTTAACGTGGCTTCATAAAATAAAGATGGGCTGCAGGGATTCGGGCATTATTTGAAGTCTCAGAGCTTGTGGCTTATTCCAAAACCACCCACTTGTTGTGGTTATAATGGGAAATGGGGGAGGTTTGCATCCTTATCGCTCTTTCCCTCCTTTTCTCTGTGCTGTGTAACGGTGCCTTTCTCTCTTCTCTGTCCTGCTTTCTTCTCTTTCTTGCATACTCTGTCCTTTTTGATGAGCAGCGGCCATATTCAAAGGTAAACCTCTTCCTGGAAGCCTGATCGAGGGCAGTAAGTATGCGCTTTTTTTTTTTTTCTCTCTCTTCTTTAATCTCTGTTTTTCCTCTTTGTAGTAATGCTTGACGGTCTTCATCCTGTGCAGTCTGGCTCGTTGCCTCAGGTTTCTGTTTCTGACTTTCACAGAGAAGCTTGGTGCAATCACAGAAATGTGTCATTTGCTATTTCCTCCCTCGAAGAGTTGAAGTCATAGCAGCCTTTTCTGTCTTTGGTCATCATAGGTTTCACAGGAAGGCAGGACAGTGACAGGGTTTGACCACACTTATCTGCTTTTACTTTGATATAAACAGCTGTAAAAACAAATCTTTTTAACGAATCCTGAACAGTTTAAAGAGAGGCCGTTATTATGAGAATGACTTCCAGTTGCACATCTGCACCGTACGAGCGGTTGGGTCTGAGCATCTGCTGTGCACTCTGCAGACCCTGGATCTCAGATCCTTTGATTAACGGCGAATCTGTGCAACCACAGAGCCACTGTGACATCATAATGACCAGATCGCCTGCACCCATCTGCACCTGAATCATGCAAGCCTCTGGGTTAGCGGCAGTCCTAAACGGGCGCACTCGTTCCTTAACTCGCTCACAATCTGCAGCTGAAAAAGCGGCTGCATTTTTAGAAGAGGTAACAGACTGAAAACGCTTTATCGCTGACCAGATCTGTGTCAAAATCACACTGCATCCGTCTGCCAGGTTCATTTTCGCAGCCGACTCTCAGTTTAGTTGTGGAGCTATGTGAGGAAGGTTTTATCTTCTGGGAAACATGACTCACATTCAGCATCATGCTGTTTTAGTTGTCAGCCTCTTGATGAAAACGGTTCTATTTTTGACTGAGAATGGTTAAACAGGAGGCATCTATAGATTGCAGAGGAGGGAGGGGAGGAGTGTTTGTGTGTAAAGCTGTTTCGTCTCACGCCCCTGCTTCCTTTTCAGGTGCAGATGTGCAAGAAAGGGAGGAGGACTGCTTGACTGAGGCAACGACTCCCACCTCACACGAACCTATAGGCCAGTCGCAGATGAGCACGGTGGAGCTAGACGAGAGTGCTCCGGAGGAAGTCAGTCCAGTGGATGAAGATACTAGTCCTGCAGAGGAAGTTAGTGCACCAAAAGAGGAAGTCAAACCTGCAGAGGCGGAGCCAGCTGTGGCTCAGCCTCAAGAGGACAGAGACTCGGAGAAGGAGGAGAAACCAGAGGAAGACACGGACTCAAGCAGCCAGTCGGTTGACGAACTGCTGGCTGATTGGCGAGAAGACTTGGAGGCCTTCAAGCAGATGGAAAAGGATGAGCTCTGACAGACGTTAGGTGCATTCTGCCCTGTGACTGGTCTGATCCCGCTACGGGGAGCGACCGCGAGGTGTCACGTGTCACCGGCCTCAGTCTTATGAATCAAAAGGAAGGTGGGGATGATGCATTCTCTTGCCCTCGGCAAATGGTATCGCGAGCCAAGGCGACCCACGTACTGTCTCTGGGCCATAAGGGAGTTGTTTTTAGGTTCTTACACTTTCTGTTTTATTTGTCTGAGCAGATTCTATCTGATGGATTATGACCATGACATGGACCACACTGTTTCTAACTTTGTCTCATTTTCCACTTCACATTACTTCACTGTTGTTCTCTCTATGCATTTCTGACCACTTTAACTCAGTGGCTTTCTCACAAATTAACCCACTGACCAATCAGTTTTATTTAAACGTGTTCATAGGTTTACTTGTTTGGTGGTCTCGGGCCTTATTGTATGTACACGTTGACCACAGTTGATGAGGATTGGTGATGGATAAGCTGCGGGATCACCAGGCTTGATATTGCTGAAGGCTTTACTAAGTTGCGTGTCGGTGTAAATATGTATGTTGACTGAAATTACTACAGGGCTGTTTGCTCAGGTTCTGGTTCACACCACAACAGCCTCTGGACCATGTAGGGTGAAGCAGACACACCCTCAGCAGCACGACGGGATGGATAACGGCGCCACAGGGGGGCGCTGTGGGATCTGCAGAAATAAGCCAATAAGTTGACAGGGTGAGAATAAATAAAAACAAATGAGAGGAACTTGCTGTCTGAACACAGAGTGCTTGATTTAATAAAAAAAAAGTCAAACAATGTCGCTTTCCTGTTTTACTGCACCGGACTGTTCTAATGTGATTAAAATGTTCCATTATTTTTATCTTGTTTGAGAGGAAATGATGAACACATGCTGGCTTTTGTGGAACAAAGAGGCAGGAGATGTGAAAATCACTTCTGTTCCGACAGAGGTTTCTGTGCAGTGGGCGGACACCCCCATCAAATCACTCGAGTCAATGTGACAGACGTGTAATTGGGAAATTGTCAGTATGCGCCATGGTATTACTGTCAGAGTGATTCAAACCCTGCTGCAAGAGTGCTCATCATATTTAGCAGAAATATGTATTTAAATCTGTTTTTGTCACTTGAGTAGAAGTACAAGTATCTGCTGAACCGATCCCATATTTACACTCGCTGGCGGTTATTTTAATCCGGTGCCAAGAAATGAAAACACAGTAAAAGTACACGACAGAGGTAGGTGAGTACTCGGTACATTTCCAGCACTTTTGTTTATGTGCACATTTACGTGCGTGTCTCATGAATGCGAGCGGCTCTCCTGCTGTTCAGCGCCTTCGGAGCGTTTTTACGCAGCGGTGATGTGCAGCTCGGGCCCGGCGCTGATTGGTGGCTCGGTGGGGCACTCCTCAGCAAGATGGCTGCATTGCTGCGCGCAATAGTGGCATCCTGGTGAAATGACGCAAGCCACAGTTTACGTTCAGTCCTCGCGGCTCCGAGCCTGAGCTCTCCAGTCTCCATAGCGCAGATCCCGCCCGACACAGCCGGAAGACCGCCCGACTCTCCTCCTCCACCGGACCGAGTGGAACCGGTTCATTTGAGTAAGTAGCAGCGGGGATTGCCTGTTGATGTGTCCCAGAGGTGCGGTTTGTCCTGCTGTTCGTGGACTCTTTTGTTGTTGTTTCCCGAGTGTCCGTGATTACCGGGCGCTCTCCTTCCTGCACACTGTCGATGGTTTCTCGCTGGCGGGGCTGGCCGTGGGGCTAACGACGCTTTGTTTCTCTGTTTCTCTCGCTCGTTTTTAACTATCATTGTTGTTACTGGTGGTAAAATCCACGAGGAGCCCACACGGAGCTGTGTTCCTGTCTCGCGTTTGGACTGTGTGAATGCGCTCGCTCGCCTTGGACAGCGTTGGCTCGGCGCATTTCAAATTTTCCACACATCCTGGCGGCTGTGCCAGGCTGTCCCGCTGCTCGGAGCCCGTGTGTGTGTGTGGGGGGGGGAAACACTCCTCACAGGGAAGAGCAGCTTTGGTCGAAGCTACAGGCCGTTAACCTTTGTGGAAATGAAACTATGAGCACACGCACACAACACTGACTCCCCCTGTGGGGAACAAAGCTCCCAGTGTCTCCCTGTAGCACAGCTGGACACAGCTGTTAAGCGGCTCGAGCTCCAGGACAGAGCAGAGCTCTGTGGCCGGCCATGGGCTCACACCTCTGCTGCTGCTGCTGCTGCTAAACCTGTGGTACAACTTCTGAGCTGCCTTCTGTCCACAGCAGCCTTTTGGCCTGCGGGGGAACGACCTGCTGATCGTCTTTGTTCCTCATGACTGCCTCAGAGGAAGACAGAAGCTGCTGGATTGTATGAACAAAGTCACAGCAGCCAGGATTACATCTGATACACAGACCATTTGCAGCTCATTAGCTCAAAGTTACCCGAGTCTGTTTCAGATGGATCCTTCCTTCCTTCCTTCCTCAGACACTATGAAGCACACCGGATCGCCAACGGCACTTCAGAAGTTTCCAAACCGCCTTACTGGCTGCTGCCTTTAAATGTGCCATATGGTCATTAGCTACTGTAGACTACAGCGTGCCATCAGCAGCAGATCATTACATCCTTTGGTGGCTGTGCAGCTCTGGTGTAGCCAGACAGTTAAAGGGGACAGCATCCATCACCTGCAGCTCCCATCAGGGCCAGACCAGCAATCCTGTGGGTGGATGTTGTGGTGCGCCTCCTGACTTTAGCCTTGTTTTATCTCCATCTATCTGCCTCCATCTGCCTCTCTCCTCCACACTCCCTCCCTCACTTGTTTATCTGTTACTGTGTGTGTGCTTGTTTCTCACATATGCCTTTCTGTTTCCGGTGGCTGAAATATAAACGTCTCACTCCTCCACACTCCTTCTCTTCCTCTCTATTCTGAGTCCTCCTGCTTCTTCCTTGTCCACCTGTGGCCTCCTCACCTTCAACTGATTAAAAGCGATCCAGGTGAACACACAGGCGCTCATAGGGTCATCCTGCAACACCTGTCGTGTCATCTTGTGGGGAAGTGGAGGGTTTCCATGGTTACCGCAGGATGTCTTCTCTGTCTGTGGGTGTGGGAGGGAGTTCCCGTGACTGTCTCTTCCATCCAGTTTGTGTTCGCTTTGCGGGCATTGTGTTCTGTGGGAGGTGCAGCTGAGTGCTGTCAGCTGTGATAAGGTAGTCTGTATTGCAGTGTGGAAAGCACAAGGTCAGCACAACTCAATCCTCCAGGTTCACTGTACCTGTCAGTTTGACTGAGGGCGTCGCAGGCTGATTAGGTTTTCTACCCGGCCGAATAAACAAAGTGCAAGAAGCAAATGTTGCAATACTAAGCCCAAAAAATCCGCACTTTGTCATTAGCCGCCGCTGTGCTCCTTCTGCTCCGTGCATTCCTGTTTATTTTGCATTCGGTGTGCAGATCGGTGGACGAGGGCTGTTTCTGCCACCGGTCTGTGTGTGAGCAGGGATTGGCTGAGTGGCCTGCACACATGCTTTCTGTCACACGACGAAGGGTCCTGTCTCTGTGTCCCTGCCTGCGTTTACAGTTCAGTTCGTGTTCAGAGTCCAGCTGGGATGGAGACATGGGGACAAACTACAGTATTGATTTTGCTTTCCGTTTCTTTTTCTTTTTATTCGCCTGTTTTCCAATCTCTACTCTAGTTAAAGGGTCGCTGACGGGGTCTCAGCTGTGGAGCTGTTAATGCACAAGTAGGTGGTGGTGAAAAATTATATAAAAGGTCAGTGTTTTGGAGGAGGGGGGTTCTTCCTGTTGGCGGTATACCAGTTCCATCTTCCCATACTATGACACCCTTGTGTGGCTGTTAATGCTCAGAGCACTCAGCTCTGTTATTAAGCATGTATGAACTGAGCCATGGTTGTTGGAGCCCAGCTTCCAGTACCACCAGCAGACATCAGGGCCAAGATTTCAGCGTCTGTCTTCCAGGCTTCACAAGATGGTAGCTGATGGTTATCTGATGGATTAGACTGTTTACCTGCGAGTTTACCTGTGCTCCATAGCATTTGGACTACAAGCCGAACCCAGAAAGCTTTGTGTACTAAAAATATGGTCTCTCACCTACAAATTCTGCATATTGATGTTTGGAGTCTGTGCATAAAGATGAGAGTGCAGGTTGGTTTTACCTTTCAGCAAAACCCTAGTTCCTGTTTAGTCTAAGCATCTTGTGCACAAACATATCTGGAACTTGCTTGGTTGTTCAAATATAACAAATTTATCACAAGCAGAACTACGTGTGGCAAAACACTTATCCTTCACATGCATGTCGTCGGCATCACCGTATTGTAAATCATAATAATGTCTTTCTGGGTGTCTTTAGGGTAAACTGCTGGAAGGTTTTGTAGCGTGTGTGTGTAGGATAATGGACCGACCAAAAGCACTGGTTTGCATCTGAAAGAATAACATTGCACATGCGATACCAGCCATGTTGAGATTTTAAACACGGGCTCGTTTGCAGCCACCCGAAGAGGCGAAACATTCAGTGTGTTTTTAATCCCACACAAACAGTCGTCTGAAGGGTCTTGGCCAGTCGTCCTGCCAATTATGCAAAGATTCGTATGCGTAATTTCTTATGACTATTAATGCGGGCACGGTTTTAATTGTGTGCCTCGTGGGTTGGTTTGTTGGCAGTTCAGATGGATCTGGGTAAGAAAACATAAACATGTCTGACCTCGTGTGCCTGCTGTGTTGGAGGAGGCCGACACCATCAGCTGCGCAGCTGTCTGTCAGCAAACGTGATCAACAAGAAAATCGGTGATGTAAAAACATAAACCACCTTTAGAGCTCTACCCTTAATTAGCAGCAGTACTTTTACTTTGGAGAACCTGCACCCAGCATGGAAAATAATATTCAGCTATAGAGAAGTGCAAAAATTCACAAGTACAGCTTTTAAATACTGCATTTAAAAGGTTTACTTCATTACTTCCAAACCCCTCACGCTCCCTGGATGCTGTTAATTATATCGCCGTCATGTCGCCCAAGAATTTTCCCCCATTACTTTTCCATCTTTCTCCTGTTTCCGCTGTTTTGCTTTGAAATCTTGTCAGTCAGCCACCTTGGACTCTGACCTGCTTTCGCCTCAGTCCCACAGAAATGACTACCTGCCTTTTGCTCTTTCAGGGAACTGAGTGCTACTAACGCCAGCCATTTGCAGGCCTCAGAGGAGACATTTTATCCTCTAGTCTAGCCTGCATTAGTTGAAATCATTCGTTTCTCTATGGCTTGATTTTTTTTTTTACCTGTACCGAGATACGGCTTAATGCAGCTCACGTTTCAATTAGAGTGCTTAACTGCTCTTTCTTCGCTCTCTCTCTGAGTGACAGCACTGAAAGGAAATGGTGAGAGCCGTGCAAACTTCTGTGGGCCTGTAGTAACAACACTGGCCTCTTCCCAAAAATACATAAAAGCTTGTCTACAGCTTACTCCAGCTTCTTCACCAGCACATGCCTCAGTTCTGCACAATATGCCTCTCATTGTCAGTCACAAGGCCGGGCTTCAGTTTCACTCAGCAGAACAGGGTCCCCTCTGTTTCCACGTCCACTCCTCCACCCATGGCTGCTTGTCATCCTCATTACTACAGTGAGAGGAAGAGGAAAGAGCCACTCAACGGCAGACAATGAAAAAGAGAGAAGAGAGGCACACAAGCAGCAGCAGAACACTCATGATGGACCTTTACTGTCCACCGGCCTGTGTGTGTGTACGTGCGTGTGTGTTGGCATGACTTCCCAGGCTTGTCAGGCTGATGGAGTGCCTAAAGTGGGACAGGAGGAGAGGTGCAGCATTTGCTGCCTGGCTAGAGTAAATATTATGGCGCACCGGCCCACGAGTTGCCGGCACTGTGCTCTGTCACATAGAGACGCAAAGACACGCTCAACACGCCGCAGCTCGCGATTCGCCGTACGAGTCATTTGCAGTGACTCCAGGTGGAGCGTTTTGATTTTTGAGCCGAGTGTTTATTAGGTCAGCTGGTGCAGTGTGTTTGCGTTCTCACTATGAGTTATGCAACATGACTAGTACATATGAGATGATTTGTCAATCAGATTTTCTCACTTAGTCATAGATTTTATCACATAAGCTGAACTGAGGGGGTTGAGTATAAGATAAATAAGGATTTTTAAAGTGTTAATTATACAGAGCAATATTTTTTCCCTCAGGGAGCTTTACTGTTTGCTTATTTTAGCCGTACATACTTTTTTCTGGAGTTGTCCTCTATCATCACATACAGAAGGATGAATAATTCAGAGAAAATTGTGAACTTGTGACCCCTACAGTGAGGGATCCAGTGGCTCTGATATGCTGTGAGGACTCTTTCCTGGCATGGATCGAGGCCCAGTTGTCCCGTGGTGTTCTCAAATTTTTGATGACAGAGTGCCAAGTTAGGGAGCCAGCATATGACCGAGTGCCGCAGAGAAAACATCCAAACCTCAAACACTTGCAGGTGTTTATTCCATATTCAGAGGATAGACTTGTGGTGGTTTATAGCTTCATGTGTTGCCATATTTCTTTGCACCGGCTGTATTTGGGGTGTTATGGGGTCTCTTGAGGACAGAGCAGAGCTGTGAGCGA